TTCAATATTCGGGTGTGGGCTATGTTATGAGTCTACGTACGAGCAAGGCAGGGTCGCTATGATAAGGGCTCCTTGGTTCCGAAGGCAGCTGGTTCCAAGGAAGGCACGCGCATCTGACGGGAAGCTACGACTCGTGCCCCTGTCAGCCATGTGATTGGCTCGGAAGCAGCTGACTGAGTCCTTGACAGCCACACACCTCGCACAAGCGTCATGAAACCTCGCCCCTCGCAGCAGCAGGGACTCGAAGCTTAGAAGAAGCAGGGCAACGCTAGAGTAGTACAAAGTGTATCGTGTCTTTGCGATGCGGTGAGGCCGTGTACTTCGTCTGAAATGCTGCGAAACGCTGCGAGAACGATGTCGCGATGTCCGCAGCTGCTGCATTCAGCCATCGCGATCGTGGCTTCCGTTCGCAGCCGATGCCCCATATCGCCATGCTGTGTGTATCGGCTTCTTACGTTGGCCATCCGTCTCTCCATGCCTCGCTCCCACACCGGCGATTGGCGCTATCATTATCGCGCTGCGGGGTCCATCCCACCATCCAAAGGTCCGATTTCGCCATGCGCCTACTAATGAGAGGCTCAGGCACATGGTGAGGGGGCCTGCTTTCGCGGCCAGCAACCACCGTCTGACACACGTGTTTGCCCGACAGGCCTCACTGCAAGACATCCCGTCGCAGAAGATCGCCAAACTCTACAGAGAGCTTGCGCAACCCATCGGAGCTTTTTGCCGTCAACCGAGGGACGTGAGCGTTACGACCAGACAACGTGATAATGCCTCAACCATGATTTGCGTTGACAACATACTTCGTGATAGCCTAGTGGGTGGGGATTCCGTTAGCGATGCGACTACACACACAAAAGTTCGAGTCAAAATCGACGTACCGATTTGAGGACGTTGATCTGCTGCACCGTGCGAGTGAAAACGGCCCGGTACTGCTCGAGGTTCTGATGCACCACTTCGTTGCGCGTAGTGCGGCCTTCGCAGATGGCCTTCATCTGGACCTCCATCTACCCAATGTGTTAGCGAGCATGCCGGATCATCAAAGCCCAACATCCCACTTACTTCTTTCCGGAGGAATGGTTTGCTGAGGCTTGTCTCAAACCCCACGTTGTCGTATCCTTCGATAAGCGCGATACCCAGCGTCGTTGGGATGAACTCTTGTATTCCGCCCGTTCCTCCTCCGTTGTTCTGGCCTACGGCTGCGCCGCCTCGCCCACCACGTCCCCCTCGTGCCCCTCCTCTTCCTCTGCCGCGGCCTCTACCTGCACCTGCGCCATCTGCGGCTGCTGCTGCGCCGCCCGCTTTGAGTCTTGCAATGACGTATTCGCGCTCCTTGATCTTGGCGATGTGCTCGGCCATGGTTGCATCTGTGCCAATACCGTTTGCATCCATGAGGGCGATGAGTTCGGGCTCGGTGAGGTAGCTAGGTGCCGACGTTTGTCCGTCCAGCATGTTCGCTTCTGTAGGCTCGAAAGTCTCACCTACCGTGTACTGGGGGAGCACTTGACTGCTCTCCCACTTGTCGTATGGATAGACCTCGAGATAGTTCCTGGCAATCACGGTAAGGCCATGTGCATGAAATATCTCGCCTCCATACTCGATCTCGATGTCTGTGGCTTCGCCGACAGCGTCTTCAGAACAACAGGCGAGAAAGCGGCGGACAACAAATTCATAGACGGTGCGCTCTCTGTCGTTGAGTTGATTGGAAGCGACGTAGTTAACGGGATGGATGGGCGGATGTGCTTTGTCGTTGTTGCGGCCCTCGCGAGGTTGATGAAAGCCACCGTTCATGAGGTTCTGTGCGAACGGACCCCAGCGACCGTCTTGTGTTTGCCTTCCGACAAGCGCTCGCAGGTCCATACCACGATCAAATTGGTCAGTCTCAGTACGCGGGTAACTGATCCATCCTTTCGTATACAAGTCTTCGGCCACTTTCATGACGTCTTGCGAGGTCATGCGAAGAAATCTACTTCCATTCTTTTGTAGTTCGACTGTCGTCAGAGGTAATGGTTTCCACTTCTTTGTGGGTTTCTTAGCCATCTTGATCACCTTCGCTGTCTTTGAGAGCAGACATCTCTCGAAGATGAGGACGACCGCCATACGATCGAAAAGATGACCTCGTCGCCAGTTAAACTTGACTTCAATGTCGTCTTTCTTGTGTGCGAGCTTGATGTACCAAAATGGCTCAGGAACAAAATTTCGCACTCGCAGATAGCGATCGACAACGAATCCCAACGTTGGAAATTGACAGGAGCCGTAGCTGATCAACTTGAATCGCTCTTCGCCCTGCTGAGGAATCATGTTCTGTAGCGCCAGTGTCTGCATGCGTGTGAAGGCTGCACCGAGCCGCAGATCTAGCTCAATACGAGCCGAAACAGCTTGAGCCTGCTTCTCGTCTAGGCGGATCGGGTTCTGTGAGGCTTGTATAACGTGCCTGGGTCACGTTAGTTGATGCTCGTGAAGATTTTGCAGTGTCACAGACGCTCTCTCGATGTTGCTGAAGCGCGCTCTCCAAACCTGCATGTTTGGGTTTGCCTTCAGCGCAATGTCACGAATCTCAGTGCCGATATGCTCGCCTTCGCGATCACAATCAGTCCAGATGAACAAGATGTTCGCCCACCTGGCTTGCGCTTCGATATTGCTTGCTACAACCTTTTTGTCCTGTATATGGATTAGCCGGCTTCGTCAGAATGAACCAAATCACCCACTTCTGCTATGCTCGACACTATGGGTGCCTCGAACAGTGCTGCGGGTTGACATGAGTGCCATTTCTTGAATCGTTCGTTGAAGTCCTGCGCAACGATATGTCCGGCAACGCATGTGAACGTTACAGAGCATTGCCCCCAGTTTTGGAAGCGGAAGTCAAACTTGTAGTTCTTGACCCACTGGATACCGCGGACACTTTCCTATCTGAAGTCAGCCTGCGTCCGATCTGCACGTCAGGCCATGAAGGCGCTCGTATCCTTGCACCGAACACCAAGACATGAGCTGAACGCATCTGTCATTCTCTCCGGCTATCGAAATGACAATCAAACACAAGTGTGAACTTTCAAGGTATATGTTGAAGGTCAATGCGACATGCTGAACTTACTGCTCGGGCTTGGCCGCCCAGATGATTTGCGACTGCTTTTGCAATCGATGGCTTTTCCGCCACGCACAATACCCGAGTCATACCTCTGGAGTGCCGTTGAAACCGCGAAAGAGGCCCAACGTGGGTCTGGAGATGATGGTGGGGAAAGATCCTCACGGTCATGTGAAGACGCGTCAAAAGAGTCTTGGCGCGTACTAGCGCGTTCAAGAGCCGCACGGACGCTATCGCAGCTCGCTAAGCCGGGGACGCCAGGGAAAACAGGTCTTCATGAGGTCATTGTCCGCTTCACACAACAAACGCTAACGCCAGCTTGCGAGGGGCGCATCGCAACATCCCCATCTTCACCTACCCTCATCGCAACGATGCCTGACCCCCGTACATACATCGACATGGCGCTGCCACTTGTCAAGACGCTGCCCGACTGTGTCGACTACTTCAAGACCGTCGAGCCGTTCCTGCCACAATTCTACGACCTCCCGTACAAGGTTGCAGCGCACATCACCGATGTGCAGGCACTGAAAGACCTCTATGTCAACACAAACCCGCTCATGTCATCGCTGGCATTTGCCACGATGTTCGTCACGCCCATCGTGCTTGCCATCTCCGAGATCAACCGCAACTACTCGCAAGTTGACAGGATCTGGAGTATATTGCCGGCCCTCTACAATGTGCATTACGCACTATGGGCTCATCTCAATGGCCTGCCAACAATGAAGCTGGACCACATTATGGCTGTCTCAATCATCTGGGGTGCTCGCTTGACTTTCAACTATTGGCGGAAGGGCGGATATCAGGTTGGCAGCGAAGACTACCGATGGGAAATTGTCAAGGACTACGTCGGCGGACCCGGCATGTTCATTTTCAACGTCACCTTCATCTCACTCGGGCAGAATGTAAGTACCCTCATGCAGTTTGCTGTGAATGTACGGAATACTGATCATGGTAGATTCTTCTTTGGCTCATCACCACGCCCACGTATATCCTCCTCCTCGTCAACCGCATCAAGGGCAACGACATCACAACCTACGATACCCTATTCGGCCGCTCCATGCTCGCTATCGTCGTGTTCGAGTTCTTTGCCGACCAAGCGCAATGGAACTTTTACAAAGCGAGGAACGCATACCAGAAGACTGCCAAGGTACCATCCGACCAGAAATACACTCGTGAACAGTTAGACCGTGGCTTCAACACTACTGGTCTTTTCAGCTGGTCGCGCCACCCCAACTTCGCAGCCGAACAATCCTTCTGGGTATGCTTGTACCAATGGTGCTGCTTGGAGACTGAGACCTACGTCAACTGGGCGTTCGCCGGTGCATTCGGATACCTGATCTTGTTCCAGGCTAGCACTTGGTTGACTGAGTTGCTCAGCGCGGGCAAGTACCCTGAATACAAGGTCTACCAGGAGCGGGTCGGGAAGTTCCTTCCGAAATTCGGCACCAAGAGCATGGACTTGCCGCAGACGGAGAAAGAGAAGCAGAAGGTCAAGGACGCGAAGGCTGGCAAGGGCTCCATGAAGACTAAATAAGTCAACATGGAATTGCTATGGCACAAGCGCAAAACCTCCTACAGATGAAGAGGCCAATACCCGAAGACGGATAATGTGTGGCCAGCGAGGACCAGTGGGCAATGTGAGCAGATGGGTGCTCGAGTTATGATGAGGATCTCAACACCATATACGTGAACAAATTGACCTAAGCATAATAAAAAGAAAGTAACTGACCACCCCGCCGGGTTACGTCACAGAAGTTGTCTTAACATCACTACTCTCACAACCTTCCATTGCAAATGTTTTGACTTCTTCATTCCCTCCTTTCAAAATCCACCGATGTCTTCCTGAACTCGAAACCATGCTCTGCTCCCACGATACCGTCACCTGTCGTGGCGCCTACTAGACGCAACGACAGTCTCTTTAAGCTTCCGCCTTGGTCTCCTCGACCGCGAACCTGATCTTGCCGTTTAACATCTCCTTCACATCCTCGAACGAAAGCTCTGATGGCGTGTCCGTGGCTGGCTGTGGAGCAAGGAACTTCACATTGCCAGCGCATTTAAAATCGATTCCATCGCGGACGGTCAGAGTGAGAAAGCTGGTCCATACTCTCCTGGTCAAGATTACACGCCGCATATCAAACTCGACAACGATGTTGCGAAGAGCAGCGAAACCATAGTCGCCGTTCGCAAGCTTCTCGAGTACACGCCACTCACGTCTCATCGGACGGATCCGCACAGCGAGCCGCCGAATGAGATGGTGAAATGCTTGTGGGGGATAGGCGAAGTAGATGCGATTGTTCGACCTTCCATTTCCGATAACGACAGACTGACATGACGGCTCTAGATGGAACTCGTTCTTGGTCCAGAATATATCTCGCGCTATTGCGGCAATCTCGCGTGTCATTGTGAGGTGGGGAAGCAGCTGAAAAAGGACTATTGGAGGGTAGACTTTCTTGTCGTCTGCACCGACGCGATTCTCGGCTTTCATATTGAACTCGAGTGTCAGGATCTTCAGCTCGGCTGGCAGTTTGTTCCATCCTTCAGCGAATGCGGACTTGAGCGGCGCTGACGACGCAATGACGAGCGGCCTCAAGGACGTGATCTTGGTGAAGGACTGGGGGCCAGCGTCGACGTCGACACTGTTGCCCCTTATGAGAGTGACCCGATATGGTGCGTCGCTTTTTATATAGATGGATACAGGTGGTTCGAGTTGGAGTGGTGTCGTCAATTGGATGACATCTTCGTACATATCCACGTCGGGGACCTTGCCGAGTGTTTTGATCGTCAAGGAGGAATGTCGGGCGGCCATCATCGCCGTGGCTGCGAATGCCATGAGCCGTGTAGGTGGCAGTGTGTCTTGAAAGCGCTGCGCGCTGGCGGGAAGGTCAAATATGAGAGTGGGATGTGGAAAAATTGCAAACAGGGGACGGCGTCGGTGCGGAGGTGAGACAAACGCTGTAAAAGTACTAGCGTACAGCAAACCTAGACTGTAGTCAACGTTCAGAGTGAAAGGAAAAGAATATTGTCTTGCTTCTATTAAACAAATCCACCAGGCTATCTTTTGGGTATGTCTACATCGGTAGCGCAGTTACGTCGAAACAACTACTGCATCCTTGATCTTAACCATCAATGGTATCTTTTCCCACAACGAGTAGATTTTCTGATCTGCGATCCAATTCCGACATTCAGGGAGCAATTCGAGATCGAAGTTGAAGAGCACTTTGCTCATAATAAGGCGCATTTCGTGGAGGGCCATGCTAGTGACGATCTGTTAATATCGTTTGCTATGCCTAGAGACCAAGGAATGGTGTTACTTACTTCTTGCCTAGGCAGTCCCTTGGACCTATATGGAACGGCTGGAGAGCTGGGCGTTCATCTGAGGCGAACCGTGGGTCGCCGAGCCAGCGCTCGGGGATGAAACGTTCGGGGAGTCTGAAGTTGTCGGCAGAGTTGTACATTGCCAGATGAGAAGCTGCGACATTCGTCTTTAGAATGTAAGTATTAAAGTCATGTTTGAGAAGGTGTGAATGAGTGATGACGTACGTTCGGAGGTATGTAGTATTCACAGATAGTCGAACCTTCAGCAGGAGTGAGATGCGGCAAACCGATCGGCACAGGAGGATAGTGTCTCAACGCTTCCTTGATGCATGCATTGAGGTAGGGTAAGCCAGCGGTGACTTCCATACTAATGTCGTCTGATGAGTTAAATGCCGTCCGAATCTCCTCCACAAGCTTCGCCATCGCTTCAGGGTGCGCCAGAAGCAGATACGTCAGTCCACTGAGCAAGGTCGCCGTCGTTTCCGTGCCAGCTAACATGAATAGCTCGCCGTTCATATCCATGACAGGGCGGGTCAGGCCAGCTTTACCCTTGTCTTCTTGTTGGAGAACCAGGTCCCACAGATCGACACCCTCCGACACGCGTCCCTTTTCAAGCCGCTTAGTGACCCTTTCGACAGTGTAGTTGTGATGCTCACTCCGGAACCTCGCAATGCGTTCACCCAACAATGTAAATAGCATAAATTTGGCGAGCGGGTAGTAGAAGAAGATGCTCATTAGCGTGCCGCGCTTGATGCTTTTGAAGATGACTTGAATCCAAGTGTTGTACTCTGCGTTATCGAGCAGGTGTAGAGATTCGCCAAATGTTAGGTCGGCCATGACGTCGAAAGTGGTGAAGTTGTCTGGAGTTAGTTGTACAAAGTTAGTATTTGTCTAACATGCGTTCGTACATGGACCTAACGTACACATTCGGACGAGATCGACCGCGTTGACCTGGACACTTTCTCTCAAGTTGCGGATCAGTTGATCAGCGTACTTGATAAATAATGGTGACTGCTGTACGAGCGCTCGGTCAGAGAACGCAGGAGAGAAGATTCTGCGAATCCGTGCATGCTCGGCAGTGTCTTGCTCTGCGACAAGTGAGTTGGCTCCATTAGGAGAACTTCCCCGGCGATTCCAATTTTTGGGCGGCGCCGAGCCTGGGCCTTCCTTTGACCCATAGCCGTAGATGTCGCGCCAAGCTTTTGTATTGGTGAAGCTGAGTTCATCAGGCGAGAGGCGCACTACTTCTCCATATTGCGCGTGGAGTTGTGCAACGTGTCGTGGTAGTTCACCTTTCGCTATGGCAGTGAGGTACGGTAGGCGCGTAAAGGCAGAGAACTTTGGCCCAGGGAAATGGCTAAGCGGATGGAAGTAGACTCGATAGATGCCTCTAACTACCCATCGTACAACAATCTGCCAACGTTAGTACACCCGGGTATGCGAAAGCGAATTAGTGCGAACAAACAAATGCAACAACTAGAGAAACGATTTTCGCCACAAAGAGTTTCCCAAAGACGACAGAGAGCCTAGGAAGCGCGCTTGGTTTCGTGAGGACAGCCATCATGAGAAGTGGCGGTTGAAGGTTGGGGGCAGCGGAACATGTCAGGGCGACACCTGCCTTCCATTTGTGTCCCCCTCGTATCTTTTTCGGTGTGCATTGAAGTAGCCTGCAATGCATCAACCCATACTTCAGGAATGTACTGAAGGCAACTTATCCCATTGCCTTGACCTGTCACAGGGGCCATGTCGCTCGTTACTCACAGGTTAAGGTTTTCTCCACGACGCCGACCTTTATCCGGACTGTGCCACGCGGATGTGCCGGGCCGTTATAGTGGAATGCATCGTATAAAGCGTAACCAATGCTCGTGCACTCAACGTGTAGTGAGCCAACAAAGATTACATGCATAGAGATAGGAATGTGGCGGTAGTTCACAGTGAAGAATTCTGGCTAATACGAATAACTAGGACTACACGGATCCCTTTGTCGCGTTACCACCTCCAATGGTGCTCACGTCGGGCGCGCCTACGAGAGCCAGATTCTCAATACCAGCAACGCCGTATAGTGCTGCGGCATTCGTACTGACCCATGTGGCTTCATCAACAGCAGTAAGTGCGTCACTTCCATCGACCCTCACCCTCGCCCATGGAGCACCCGGTGCAAGCCCGTCTTTACTACCATCGCCCAAGAACTCTGACCAAACTCTTGGAACGAGTGTCGCGTTGTTGCGATGATTGGCGACATATGCGGTGAAGCGCGAGTGGCCCTGCATCAGACTTAGGGTGCCAAAGTCCTTGCCATAACGAGCTTTCTGTTCAGCCTTCCCGGCGCCGTAATAGTAACAATAGTCCAAAAAGGCTTCGAAGAAAGGTTGCGTGAGATTCTTCTGCTCCGTACCGAAGTGGTCCATAAGCTGATCAATAGTCTCAAGGACGCCGAAGACACCAGACAGATGCGAAACCGTGACGTTGCCAGTGTTGTTCGGGTCTGTGGGCGGCGGTGCCCACGCACCAGTGAGACTGTTGTAGAAAGCCTCGCCCGTGGCGAATCCGTTCTTGAGCTTTGGGTAGGTCATGATGGACTCGACGAGCTTTTTGCGAGACTCTTCCCAGCGAGGCCCGCGACGCTCCCACTCGATAAGATACGCTTGGGCAATACCAGCCCAGTCGGTGCCAAAGTTGAGGAAAAGCGCTTCGGGATCAGGGTTGTAGACAATACCCGGTTCTCGTACCTTGCGTCTCGCATCTACGCGAAGGAAAGCTTTATCAGCATCCATAACCTCACTTACCAGGTCGCCGGTGCGCTCGTCGCCGCCGGAGATGTAGTAAAACGTCTTGCGATAGACCGGAGTTGAGATTCTAGCCTGTTTGGCACTGTCACTCCAGTGTTGGACGCCATGTCTCGTCCCGAGCCCAGTAAAGTTGCCAAGATGATACGAGTCAACCTCGCCTCCGTGGCGCACTTGGTCATGAGCGATTTTGTAGGCATCCGCACGACCGGTGCGAAGGAAAAAGTCCCAGAAGAAGAGATCAGGCGACAGCTCCGAATTATCCCAAGCATAGCCACCAACGTCATATCTCCACTGGTGACGATCGTTATCATAGGTATGCATGATATCTCCATGGTCCCAAAATCCGTACCAACGGCGCTGCTCGATTTGGTCTTCGTAGAACTTGATCAAGAAGTCCATGTTGTTCTCGATAGTCTGTGCTTGGGCAGAGTCCACAGCACCAGGCACGTCCCAGTACGATCCAATCGCTTTGGTGTCGCGCATGTACTCTGGCTCAGGAATGAGAACGGGTGGGTTGTTGGTGAAGTTGGTGAGCGTTGCAAGGTGTTCGGTGGAAGGAGTCTTGTCAAACGCGTAGATGTAAAGCTCGTTGGTGCGGCCAAGGCCGTAGGGAGTGTCGTAGCCTCCTTCCCAGTCTTCGTATGTGATATCCAGAGCGTCTAGTTGCTGCTTGTAGGTGTCTTGTCCAAGGCCGTCGTGGTATGGGCGGATATCCATGGGCCCTGCCTGAGGGCTGTACAGCCACATGGTGATTGATCCAGCATCAGTTGCGGCATTAGAGATATCCAAACTGGTAGGATACTTCTTCCAGAAATCGCGAAGGCCCACGGCAAGGCCACCAACCGTAGCGCCGCCGAGATATGCCAGGCCACCTGAACGTGTGCCTCCAGGAATCTTGACCCAGCTTTGGCCAGCCTTCGTGCGCTTCTTGAGGTTGAAGCCATCTGGTGAGAGTTGTGTGAGCTGATAGTCGCTCCACGTTGGGATCCACTGTAAACGAGTGGTCACCCTCTGATCCCATGTAGAGTTCGGTGGCAAGACGGTGCCGTTGAACTGGCTCGATCGAATGTCGACACCTGGGTCGCGACGCAGACCAGTAACGCCCTTGACAGCTTCGTGTAGCATTCCGCCTTCAACACCCGCGATTCGGACATGACGATCGTAGAACTCCTCTTCGGCTAGGGGAACATCGAAGCGAATGCCGATACCCGACATGAAATCTTTGTACATATCTCCATCGTATATGATGGTGTGAATGACCCGAATTGCTTCGGAGTTGGCGTAGAGGTAAAACCGAACGGTAAAGGGTATCCAGTCGTCATGAGCGCCATCTCCGTCGATAGTATGGATGCCGTTGACTGTGACTAACGATCGTACGGTGTTTTCCTCTGATACAGTGACGTTCGAGATCTTGCTGGTGAAGCTGAAGTAGTCGATGCCGGTTGGCTTGCCATCTTCGTCGTCATCAGGAGTACCGTTTTGAGAGCGTAGGACGAGGTGGCCGTTGCTTCCGACCGTCTTCCCGCCGGCTTCAATGGTGGACACTAGGACGTTGCCCGACTTGGGAAAGGTTGCTGAGACTTTGCTGGTACTGACCACGATAGTATTGCCAGAGTCAGTAATTTGGATGCCATTGCCTTGACGTTTGTATAGCGAAGTCGAGGAGTTTCCTGCACCAGAAGCTGTGATTGTATATTCACTGGCTGGGGCGTCGCTAGCTCCTAGAGCATGTCCGGTCCTAAAATGACAGTGCACGAAGTCAGTGTATGTCTCACATGCAGTTCGTACATGGGAGATTTTACCACTTCAGCGAGCCGTCAGGCCAGTATGCTGTTACCCACGACTGAAGTTCCGCATCCCCAGAGACGGTGAAGGTTGTTGCGTTCGCAAGGTGCTGTCCTCGAGGCCACGGTAGGCCGAATGTCACGCCAGCGAGGTGTTCCGGTGTATCCTCAAGCCACTTGACTTTGACAGAGTCGCTTTGGGCGGTGGCATAGCTGACAAGGCCAGCAAGGCCAATGAAGGCCCCAAACATTGTGAGATGGTGCAAAGAGCGGAAGAAGTCGCAACCAGAGGGGAGGCTTGACTTTCTCCCTGACCATCCGACGGGCAAGCATTTTGTAGTTGCATGTCTCGACCAGGTACCTGGCTACGGCTTGACCGCAACGGGCCGTGGCCCGTCCAATACCCGGCTCACCATGTCACTTGCGGTAGCATACCCGTCAACTAGCCCGCACGCAAGAAGGTGTCCACAGAACGTAATGTAGGTCGTCCTGAACGAGGCTGGTGTGTCCTTGGCGAGCCTCGTGTGTGATGGCCAGGAGTGGAGCTACTGTGGAGGTGGGGTAGATCGACAGGTTTGTGGGAAGGCGAAGACCTGTTCGCCATTTAACCTCGGGGTAGAGACAACCGAATTGATGCCTTTTTGGGTGATGGATGTGTGAATAGTACTGACAGACCAGCAAAAATAGGAGCGATGCCCGCAGAAGGCACCGCTCGAGAGCTTGCCGCATGTCCTTAGCTGGGGCAAAAAAGATCAAAAACATACAACAGCTGGGATTCGCTTACGGTCACCCATTAAGTTACTAGCCAGCCGGTAACAAGCTTAAGAACCGCTGAGCAAACGGGAAGCGCTGTGATCTTGTTCCTATGGTCGTATGTGAAGGAATGGGGTTTGAGCCAGTACAAATTGCCATGGCGTACGCCCACCGAGAGGGCCAGTCCAATCTGGCAGACTGGGCGGTTTCGGAGCTGCTGTAACGCAGGATAACGCGACGCATCTGGATAGAACTGAAAGGCGGTAGAGTCGGAGGATAACTTAGAATGTGATGGTGCTGTTACAACCTTCGCGCAAAAGGAGGCAGGTGCCACACGCGCGCGTCACGTTCAAGCCAAGCACGCTAGTCAGAATCGCGCCACGCGCCGCTCCTCGTCCCTCATCTTAGGAACGCAACATCTCTTGGGCATCGGAACAACACACGGCGAAATGAGTTCCTGAATGCGCGTGTCCGGTTTCTTAGCGTATTCAATAGTCAGGTCGTCATGTCTTGACCTACATCAGCGACTCACTCTATACCCGTCCCAACATCACATCTGGTCATCACGCAGTCGATCCACTTTTGGGAATCACGGTCCAGC